ACTCCTAGAGGAGTTGTTTCAATTCAGAGGAACCTACTATAAAACCCTCTCTCTCTCCCCCCCCCCCCTCTCTCTCCCTCTCTCTCTCTCTCTCTCTCTCTCTCTCACTCTCTCTCTATCTATCTATCTATCTATCTCTCTCTCACTCACACACACACACACACACACACACACACACACACACATACACCACACATACACACACGCTCACACATATGCATGCACACTCACACACAAATGAATAAACAATACATAAAAATAAATAATTACTGCAGGAAAACAATACATACAATCCTAAAGAATAATCAAAGCAAATAGGGATATGCCTATATTCAAGCTATAAAAACTTACTGTACTAAATCTCAATGTGGAGACGCCCTACAGAAAGTTCCAAGGTCAGCATTTACTGTCTACATGTAAATTTAGATTTGGATTCTTCTTTCAAAGGCTAGGTGGAACAGATCAAAAAAGAATGAATAGAATTACAGATGATGAGCCAAGCACGATTATTGTAATTTTGTTTCTTACACAACCTTAATTTGTACTTGAAGGATTTGGAGCACCAAAGTGTTTTTGAAACATACTTTATTATTTTCCACAAGAGAATGCATTATATTCCCAGGTACTATCGTAGAATCATTATTCATTTAACAAAAATGTGACTGTTTTAGCAAGAAATTATACTTTCAAAATGAAAACTGACCAAAAATACAATGACGCATATCTAAAGAAAATACTTTCAAGTACCAATGCTTTCCCATGTTTCCTCCTATTGTGAAGCATGGGCTTTGGCGATTATATATGTATGTACATATTTTAAGTTATATTTGAAGACCAGGGAATACACTCACTATAAGATCCAATTGCTACCAAATTATCTGTGAAATAATCACATTAAGCAAGAAGTGTATTTTCTTTCAAAAAGCAAGTATTTGAGAAACGTTTTTATATCACTCAAGATTTTTGTGTTCAAGGGGCTGGGGAGATGTCACAGTCAGTAAAGTACATAAGGCAAACCCACAAGGTCCTAAGCTTCCTCCAGGCATCCATGGAAAAAGTCAGGCACAGTAGTGCTTGGAGGTAGAGACAGCTGATCTCTTGAGCTCAATGGCCAACCAGCCTAGTCTACATGGGAGACCCAGTGCAGTGAGTGACTGTCTCAAAAGACAAACCAAAAAAGAAGGAGGATGGCTACTGGGAAACAACCCCCAGGTTTGACCTCTGGCCTCCATATGCAAACACAAATACATGTGTATTCACACACATACACACATGTACGCACACACACATACGTAAACAATTACAGACAATATGATCATTGTCTAATTTACTGATATGCCTCTGTGCTTCTTAGTGCCCAGAATACAAACAAATGAGTTTTAACATCAGGGTGGTCATACCAGTGAGCTGACAGAATTTGCATCTCTTTGGAAGTTCTGGGGACTGTCACTTTATGGTCTTTGGAGACAAAGTGGCTGAGTCCCCTGAATAGCAGAAGAGGAGACTGATAAGCAGCAGAGGAAAGCATCATGGGACAGACAGACAGACAGACAGACAGACAGATGGAGAGACAGCAGAGCATAGAGGCCCCAGTGAAGAGCCATGACTATGGCTTTGCCCAGGGCCAGCACTAGCCATAGAAAACAAGTCCATGCATTTCACTTGTATGTACCTTAAACCCTAGTCAACCTCGAAAATCTCTTCACAAGTGCTTTTCCTTCCCTGTGTTTTGCAAAGCCAGAAGCAGAAGGTGGTGGTAGAGGAGTGTTGCACCACTTTGTGGTGCCTTTGACACCACAACCTGCTGTGACATCCTCAAATCACCTGACCTGGTGAAGTTTACACATGGCCAGGAACATTTCTTTATGCAGTCGCCATTGTCCTGCAATCTTTTCGTGGTACTTTCCGTTTTCTATTTTCTCAGCATACCTGCTTTTTTGAACTGCACCATGGGTTATTACTGACTCCAGCTTTTCCCTTTGCTAAATGAGAAAAAGCGGAATGAAAGCATCAAGATTATGTGTTGTACATACTATTTTGCCCTTAATTCCAAAAAGCATCTTCCTGGTAGGTGTAATACAGACAGACTCAAGTAGGGAGATTGGGGGTTAATCTTATGTTGACAATTTCAATTTTAACAGAAAATTCACCATTGGTGAAGCTGTTAAACTTTAATAGTGGTTCATGATGGATTTCTGCAGCCATTTTTCTGTTTCTCTTCAATAACTAGAAGAAAATAAGGGGACATAAATTTTTATATTAAAATTTCCTTTGTATTAAGTCTACACAGGTAAAAGAGCTGCATGTGTTTCAGTACATGCATTGGCAGTGCAGTTACTCTTTTCTGCTGGCATTCTGTTGCTTGTCTGTGCTGCTCCTGTTTCAGCTGTGTGTGTGTGTGTGTGTGTGTGTGTGTGTGTGTGTGTGTAAGTCATCTTATACAAGTTCTTTGATATATTATAAACTTACCTGTCACCATCCATAAAAGAATAGACTTTGTTTAAATAAAGATAACCATAGAAAACAATTTCTTCCTCAAGTCTAATCTCAAGCAAGAAAAAAAAAGTAGAGCATGACATTAAAAAAAAAAGTTTCACATGTGTGACCTGATAAGTAAGTTAGATTGCTGGTCCTACCACTATTTTAGCTCAAGATATTTGATAACTTTCAAATAACCTTCAGTTTTTTCTCTCCAAAATGTAATTAATAGTTGATAATATTTGCCCTTGTCACTACTCCCCATATTTCTACCTGATGAGACACAGACCTCCTTAGCTAAACATGTTTTATAAAACCAACTATAATGGCAATAACTTACCAAGGTAGAAATAAAAGTATTAAAAATGGAAGCTTGTATAACTCACATTCTTATTTGTATGTGGAAGGTACAGAGTTAGACTCATAGAGCTATAGAAAAGAATAGCTGGTTAAGGATGCTGGGGAGTAACAAATGTGTGCATATCAATAGAAGTAACTTCTAATGTTCAATGGCATACTGCTAACTATGGCTGAAAACAAGCATGAGTGAGTGGTGTGTGTGTGTGTGTGTGTGTGTGTGTGTGTGTGTGTGTGTGTGTGTGTGTTGATGATAGTGACATATCCCAATACACATGCGGAGATCAAAGGACAACGTTTGGGAGACAGTTTTCTCCTTCCTCCTTGTTTTGAGACAGAGACTCTTGTTTCTGTCACTAGACTGTGTATTCAGGCTAACTGGTCCTTGAGCTCCTGGAGAGTTTTCCTGTCTCTACCTACCACCTCACAATAAGAATTATGGTATTACAGATTCCTTCCATTGCGTCGGTCTTTTCCACATTGGTTCTAGGGATGGAACTCAGGCTATTAGATTTATGCCTCTAGCTCCTTTATCAGCTGAGCCATCTCCCAAGCCAGCAGTTAATTTTTCTCTCCCAAATACCTAAACGAAAAGTTGGTCTGAATGCCATTTACCTTCACTTTATCATTGTGCTACATATGTGTATTAAAATGCTGCACCATACCCCATAAATATGCAAGTCAATTAAAAATATGCCAAACACAAATATAAAAAAAACCTGCATTTAAAAATACAGGCAGCACATAAAGTTAGTTGCTTCCTACACAAAAAAATATTCTACATAAAGTGATTTTGTAATGAAAATCCACCAAATAGGACTCTATTTTCCTTGTCTCTGCTCTTCTTTTATGCCTCTATTTCTCACTGTATGAGTTTTCAGTGACTTTCCATCATACATCCCTCTGTACAATGGAAAATGCATACACTGGATCTGAATGCTTTTGTGTTCCTTCATGGCCACCCTTCTTCCTCCAAACACAGACTCTTCCACTAGACTCTTCCAAGCCCTCTCACACACACACACACACACACACACAAACACACACACACACACATACCATATACACATTGTTTCTTATGATTAGAATGTTTATTGGTAGATATTGGTTATATTCCATAATTTAGGTCTTTCATGGTGTCTGCACTTACTGAAGTTATATCTATTGGTTCCAAGAACAATACACATTACATTTTATCAACAACTTTAAATACATAGCAGATTTTATGTTTTCTCACAAAGTATTATTGAACTGGATGTTTCTGTTCTATATTGATGATGGTGATGCCTAAAATGTGTTGAGAACTTATCATATATCATTGTCAAGGCCCTATAGAAATTGCCAGTTAAATCCTCACAGCAACAGGAGGTGTGTACAACAAAGGTCAATGAGTTAAAAGGAATGGTGCTGTTAGTTAAATATCTAGAAACTTGTTCCAGACAGACTGGGTTAATTCCAATTCTCCAAACTATCATTATGAATCCTTGAATGAATCTTTTAATATCAATATGCTTTAGTCTCTGTAAAGCATCTCCTTGTGTTGACAGGACAAAATATGTCTTTTCCTGTTCAGTATCTCGGGTTCTCTTAAACAGGTGTTCTATAGCTAGCCAGGTATTTTAAACTTCATTGTCATTTCCAGGAGTGTGTTCAATGAGATGCTAGTTCCTCAAACTACAAAGCATTAGGGGTAATTTCACAGCCCCACACCTAGCCTGAAGTAGTTAAGTCCTCCAGAGACAAAGTGGCTGTAAACCAACCAAATTCTCAGACTTACTCCATTTTGGTTAAAGGTGGGGGCAGATATTTCTAGCACCCACAAAATGCCAAGCCCCAAGTACTGAGCTTCCGTGCCACACAATTTTGTAGTATCTCTCTATTTGTTTCAATGTCTACATCATTCTCCCTGTTCCAAATGCCTTAAACATCTAAAGACATAATATAAAACTGTTCTGTTGTTAGTGATACTGAAATTAGCCTGGCTTGAAGTCAGACACAACTTTACCAAAATCCTAAGAACTGCAAAATGCCACACATAATTTTAATTCCTTTTAGGGGAGCTTCTGTTATGGAGACAGTGAGTGTGGAAAACTATTGATTGTCTGAGAAATGTTTCCTCATCTCAAAAGCCGATGGTGATTCAGTCTGCGGCCCTGTCTTGACAGGCACGAGTATCTTCACAGTCTATGAGGCGTCCTCTCAGGAAGGCTGGGTGTTCCTCATGTACAGAGCAATCGACAGCTTCCCCCGTTGGCGCTCCTACTTCTACTTCATCACACTCATTTTCTTCCTTGCCTGGCTTGTTAAGGTACTGAAGAAAATGTGCCCACCGTGTGCACATTTCGTGATGTTCAGCATGTGTGTTCTTTTTTTGTTTTTGTTTGGTTCTACTGATCACTATGCTTCTCCACCTCCAAAGTTTGGTAAATATGGCCTGTCATTTCTTTTCAGAATGTGTTTATTGCTGTCATCATTGAGACATTTGCAGAAATCAGAGTACAATTTCAACAAATGTGGGGAACTCGGAGCAGCACAACCTCCACTGCAACCACACAGGTATCTTTTCAGTGAGACAGATGATCACAGCCCATTCAGCCTCAGGCGTATCCCATCCTCATAGCAGTGAGGCCCTGGGGAATGCTTTTGGAATGGAATGCTGCAATATGGTACTGGAGAGTGGTTTGAAAATACAGATGAACAGTCCAAAGCCAGAACAGTCATCCCAGACTTTGGCTGTGGTATGGTGAAGGTCATCTAGTTCCTTTAAAGTGCCATGGATTGCTTCAGTACAAAACCAAAATTGCCAACAATGTTTATTATGCACCTTTGATTTGATTCCAAGAACACAAGTCCTCAAAGGCTTACTGAGTAAATATAACAACTGAAAGTTGCCATTTTTATTAGCCTTTATTCTAAGTCTATACTGTGGTCCTTACATGGAGGATTAGAAGTGTTGGTGTTGTACATGTGTTTAATTCAGAACAAACCAATCAAGGTAGAAGAAACTCTAAAGAAGACTCTTCAATCCCCACCGAATAACTGTGGTTCTTGAGAACTCATCATATATTCAGTATGGGTTCCTTCTCCCAAAAAACTAGAGATAACATGAAATATTACAAAAGCAACAGAACATTCAACTATATAGGAGGCATTCTGATATCTTGTTATTTACTTATGTATTTTTGTTTTCACATTTTGTTGTTTAGAAATAGGAAAGGCAGGCTCACATACCTTCTAGAATGGATAGGAGAGAAAAAGAAAAATCCAGAATTAATAATGAAACAATTTAATGCTTTTAACAATAATTTTGAGATTAAATTATGAAAAAAGTCTAAGTTTGCAGATGATTGTATAGATCTATTTGATGGAAAGGTCAAAGTGAAAATTTAATTTGAAGACCGTTTTATTAAACTTTCAGGTGTCCGTAAACATGGGAAGGCTGACATTTATGATGTCATAGATATCAGAATTGCCCAGGCTTTGTTACAAGTGAAATCATGTCAATGTTTTTCAAGTTTGACAAAAATAATTCAAACTTCCATGAAAAGAAATTAATATGCTAGATAGGTTAAGGCATAGATGCCGTTTTGTGGCACTTTCAAGGAATCAACCCAGGAAGCTCGTGTGCTTTGTCTGGTCCCTATTAGCCTACTGTGAGATGTAACAGTTTCAGGTCTTCCCTGAGGAGAAGGCCTCTTGGCAGGCATGTTTTCTGTGACAGACATTGAGATGTAAATGGAACATAAAACTGGGAATGCAGCTCTTACATGCAGCGCTCCCAGGCAATGGCCTAAAACGTCCCTAAAATCGTATTTTGCTTATTAAGTAACTCTGACAGATAAAAATCACAGCTGGAAAAGTAAAGTGCCAAACCAGCTACCAGTTATAATAGAAGACAAAATGTGAAAATTTTGAACAAAGTCGTCCAGAATTATTTTGATGCAAAATTGCACTTAATGTGGAGGCGTAAGTCAGGAATTCAAGAGGGAATGTGCCTGGATGTTCAGCAGAGGTAATCACACAGAGAACTGTGAAAACCTTCATTAAGAAAAATGCTATGGCTGAGGACCTGGTTGCTAAGCAACCAAAGCTCCTGCAGGCTGCCTCTTGGTAAAACACCACTTAGGCAGCCTAGCAACTGGCCTCAGGCTCCACCCACCCCTCAGTTCACCATTTCTAAGAGGTCCCAGACGCTTTTATGTGTACAGAAGGGAGACAGAACATTTGCTGTGACTGTTAAATTTGTGAAATCTCACCAAACTCATAGCCTGGACTTCTTTGTCACTGGTTTAAGACACTAAATCACAAGTGTCCAATTCTGACAAAATAGGCTACAAAGTGCTAAAATCATGATGATTACTATAGGGTATACAGAATTTTGGAAGTTAAATCATTTCTTGCCTTTATCTGTGATGTGGGAAATTTATGTTCACTGTGCTTTGCTCATCAAATAGTTAACTAAGACTGAGAATATTGGACTTAGCAGTGTATGTATGTGAACTGCCTATGACAAGCATTGTGGTAGAAATGGACACATTTATACATACTCGGGTACATGCTGAGGATATAGTAGACCTTTGGACATAGGCAGTTTACTAAGAATTGGTGGTGATATTTCAGAGGAAAAACAGAATGCATGACAAAAATTTTTTCTTTAAACTTTCAAATAAGATTTTTTTTTCATTTGAATGGTCACTACCAAATGTCTCTGAGTAGCCACATAGAAACAAATTAAGGAAATACAGATGCCCAAGCTTTTGTACCTAGCACGCTATGGTGTGCAATAGCAAAATGAAGGGAAACTGGAAGGGGTTCTTTCAGATTGCTAATCATGGACCTGCCTGAGCTCTGCTAGGGTGAGTGATTCCGTTCTGCATAGTTCTTGGTGTGGATAACTGTTGTCACATGCTCAGAGGCCGGCTGATGAATAGGACAAAAGGTTCGCATTCCTGTTATAAAATGTACCTTCTGTTAATCCACAGTGTAATTCCTCATGCCACCATGTTTAGGCATTAACACTGGATGTTTTGAGTCAATGTGAGTTAGGAAAGTTTTATGTGCAGCAATTCCTTAATCCAGTCCTTCACACCACTTACTGAACACCCCCCCCCCTTAGATGCTTGTCGTCTCTTCACCTACATCTCATGCTCATTTTGGCTCCTGTTAAGGGGAAACCAATTCCACTTTGTCCAGAATAAAACTTAAGGACCCATAAAAGCCAAAGGCCATGCTGACCACTTTTGCACTCTGTGTACCAAAAGACAACACAAAGGAGGCAGCCCATGCATACCTAAATTTTATAAAGGATCCATGGCCCAATGGCGTCCTGTCAGAGTTTTGACAAATAAGCACTGTGCTTCATGAAGAGAGCAGCATTCCCGAGACTGTCTTCTGTGACTGAGCGCTGCTGCTGACAGATGCTGCCTGAACTGTTTTCTCTAGCTAAGCTACAAGACAGGTAAGGTAGAGTTGATGCAAGTAAGGGGGTGATTTTGAGTTGTTCCTTATTTGCTTCCTGTCAGCATCCTTAGAATTTGCCTAGATGAACTTCTGTAAGGATGTGTAGTACTCAGCAAGAAAAGCAGAGAGACATAAATGAAAGATGCTTGAGCAAAAAAAAAAGGGGGGGGGGATTGATCCACCCGAAAGAAAAGAAACACTACATATAACCTAATGTTCAACTTGAGGAGAAAACTGCTTCCTGTCTCAAAGCCAGCAATTTCCACGTGAATAGATAGATGCCACTCAGATGTGTGAGAAGGCAGTTAATGGGTGCAGCTCAGAGAAGGGCTGTCCCCAAGTGCTATAATAGTGAGCTCTTTCCAGTGAGAAGCCTTGGGGATGGATGAAGCATTCATCATAGGAAGTGGGGAGTGGAAATTAGGCTTTGTGAGACTGCTCACTAAATGTGTTCTTCTGCTGATTTTCTTTTTAATTCATTTTGAGATAGGGACTCACTCCATGGTCCAGGCAGGCTTGAGCATGTAGCAATCCTGCTTCAGCCTCCTGAGTACTGGTATCATGTGTATGTACTGACATTCATGGACTAAACGTATCTGGTAATGAAATTAAGCCAGATGTCCATGCTTATGATTTTAATAAATAATCTATTCTAGAAATACTTAATTTAAAAGGGACTGGAACAATTTCAGAATAAAGCTTCCCTCCACCACATGTGTGTGCATGTCTTAAGTTTGGGATTTTGATTCACTTTTTGTAGATTAACCCTGCTCCTAGTATTATTTCTCTTACCTCACCTCAATGGATAACCTGATGGTTGGGATGATACGTTTTCCACAGACAAGAGTATTCTTAGCTATTTTGTAAATCACCTGCCCATTACAAATGAACAAGCCTGAGCTAACTCATGGAGCTGAAATCTTCAGGCCTTCTCAAATGCTTGTACTAATAAGAGAATATTAGTTCGTGGATATCCATTATATTGTGATTGGTGCTGTCCCTCCTACTAATTGACACCATTTTCTGGCAATCACTCCATTATATCACCAGTGGGACTGAGCATAGTATAGTGACACTACAACTTGTCTTACTCAATTTCTATTGCAATATTATGAAGAGGGTACTATCATTGTTTCCACATTGCAGGCTAAAAATGGCAAAGATGGCCAACTCAATTATATTGTCTGATTATAGGTATTGTGAGATTCCATTCCCGTTGCCCAGCCTTCATTTTTAATTACTGTGAGATCCTTCCTCCTTTTGATTTAGCCATGTTTAAAATCTCCAAGTCTCTTCAGAGACTAACATCAATCTCTTAACTATAACCCCCCTGTGAAATCAAAATCACATACTTCCAACATACATTGGCACAGGATATAAATGACTATTCCAAAAGGGCAGAAAGGGAGCGGAGTTGGAAAATACTGGGCAGAAACAATACTGAAAACCCAGTGGGCAAACTCCAGCTTCCCCATCTCCACCTCTGATGCCAAAATGCTCTTCAGATCTCCAACTCCTTTCAGCTTTGTTGACTACAACACACTTCTTTCTCTTGGGCTGGGTCCACTTCCTGTTAGCAGCTTTCCTAAGCAGGTATCCCACAACACTGGCATCTCCAACATTTTGAGATCTCCAAAGCAATCCAGGCTTCATGTTGCCAGCTTCACAAAATGGTCTCTCTAGGCCTCCATGCAGTGATAACCTTGACTCATGGCTGGACTCGGCAGCTTCCATTAGTCACAGAGGGTGTTTCCATAACCCCTTTCTTACATCCTTGACTCTAAATCCAAAATCATGTGGCTGAAACTGCCAAGTTCTGCTGCTCGCTAGGACTAGAACATGGCCCACTCATTCATTTACATATCCATTAGCTTTCTGTTTTCGATGGGTTCCTTCACTGCCTAAACTTGGCACAGACTGTAGGCCATGGTTGGCCTTGAACTCAGAGATCTTCCAGCCTCTGCCTTCTGAGTGCTGGGATTAAATGTATGCAGCATCACACCTAGCCCTGAGATTTTCTTTTATTCCTTTTTATTTTTCTTTAATCCCTTTTCACAAATTGGAAGCTTAGCTGGGTGGGGTCTTGCTCTAAGGTCACCACTCCCTTTATTCCCCTTAGCATCAGGCTTTTCTTGCATCTGTTTACACTTCTTGGTGCTCCTTTTCGCTGTACATTTTGTATTTTTCCTTTGCTCAGCTTTCTCCCTTTCATTATAGAACTGCATAAGACTGGCCACTAATAGCCACACAAAACAGTCAATGAATGCTAGGTTGTTTTGAAATGTCCTCTGCTTAAGCTGTTAATCCTTAATTCTTCAATTCAGCCTCAGGCAGATGTTTTAGATAAAGGCAGAAATAAGCCACATTCTTCACCAAAATTTCACAAGAATGGTCTCTAAGCCACATATTAATATTCTCCTCTGAAGCATCTTGAGCCAGGCCCTCACAGTTCAAATTACTCTCAGCACCACTGTCCCTCAGGTTCCTACTAGGATGGCCCATTAAATTCTGCTTAAAGCATTCAGCTGCTTTTCTAGTGCACAGTCACAAAATCCGCATTCCTCCAAACAAAAACATGGTCCAGCCTATCACAGCAATACCCCAGCCCTGGTGCCAACTTCTGTCTTAGTTAGGGTTTTTATTGCTGTGAAAAGACACCATAACCACATAAACTCTTATGAAGGAAAACATTTCTTGGGGATGGCTTACAGCTCAGTGATTTAGCCCATTATCATCATGACAGGAAGTGTGGTAACACACAGGCGACATGATTCTGGATAAGTAGCTGAGAGTTCTACATCTGGATCAGCAGGCAGCAGAAAGAAAGACACTGGGCCTGGCTTGAGCATCTGAGACCTCAAAGCCCACCCCAATGACACACTTCCTCCAACAAGGCCACACCTCCTAACAGTGCCTCTCCCTGTGGGACAATGGGGGCCATTTTCTTTCAAACTACCACAACAGTCAAACAGTATCTAACAAAGTCTTTAAAGTATGCATGCTATTTGATCAAGGATGTCAACTTCTATGAATTTGTCCTTAAATTACTGAACAATAATCAAAGAATTATATTTGAAGATGCTTTGGAAGGTATAAGACAAAATAAACAAAATCAAGGATAGGGCTGAGTATGTAGCTCAGTGGTAAAGTACTGTCTTCAGGGCAAAACCCTGGGTTCCATCTTCAGGACTGCCAAACAAATTCTGAAATTCTGGCACTATGCTGTTGATGTATACTAAGTTAGAATACATAGAAAGTGGTAAAATAATACTTGAGCCTTATTGGCATGAAAATCTATAGACAATCTACTAGTACAAAAACAATTGTGTGTGGTGTCCACATTGGTGTGCATGTGTGTATGCATGCATGTATACATGTGTGTGTATGTGCACATGTACATGCATGCATGCACAAGTGTGTTCAATCTTGAAAGTTTAAAATGTTTGTAATGATTATCTCTTGAGATATTGGTTATTATTTTTTTCATCCACATTTTTAGGTGTTTAATAATAAACATTTTAGCAATAAAATCCAAAAGGCAAAAGTCACATGATTAAAACACAGGAACCACTGAACATTTTAACTGAAACCACCTATGTTATATTCTACTGCATAGGCCAGATGCTGAATAGCAATTGCTTAGGTAACGTAGCTTTGTGCCCTTTCTGGGTACAGTTGAAGGAGATAGGTTGGGTTTGGCTCACTGGTCCGGGTTGCCAATGAGCCAGTCCCTACCCATCCACCATCACTTTTCTACTCCACTTTGCACAGTTTCCCTTCCCATGATTACATAGAAAACTATAATGTCTCTCAGACCTGTAACTCTAACATCTATCTAGCAGAAAAGAATACAGTAAGAACAAACAAGGCTCTGCTTACATCCTGTTCAAAATGAGCTTCCAGACAAGGATAGGAGCTGGCCCTTTTGTAGGAGGTTTAGTGACCCCATAAAAAAATGCCCTGACATTGGAGGACAACAAAGAATGACCACAGTCACACCAAACATCCTCCTGAGAGATCTGAACCCCTTGGGATTCTTGTTTCTCTTGGCTATCCCAGTTTCAATCTGAAAGATCTATAGTCATATTAACCAATCTAAATGTTGTATGATTGGGGTTCCAAAGAAAATGAGACACTTTTGCATTTCTGTTACTTCATTTAAAACACAGGGGTGACCTTCAAAGAACACTTTTGCTGACAGTTAAATTGATTCATTTGAGTTTGGTCTGCTGGAGAAAAATAATTTACCATAGAAAATTAGTCTGCCACCAATGAAAGGAAATATTAGCCCCAGGAGTGCTTTGTGCCTTGACAAGACAGTATAGGAGGCTTTGGTAGAGTGCTCTCAGCTGACTGGTGACTGACAGCAAAGGTTTTGACATGTGCCCTTAAAAAGAGAATCTCAGAATCCTGAGGGCCTTTAAAGTTCACTTGAACTGGTTTGGTTTTTCCAGCTAGTCTGTATGCCCAGAGTGAGCCCATCCACAAAAGATGTGCTTGGTTCTACCACCAAAAATAGCTTTTAAATCTTATTCTAAAGAGAAGGTGAGTTCTGCAAAAGACAGCTGAGGCTGACTATTTGTGATGGCATCTTTGGTCAAAGTATATTTGTGTAAATATGCACAATCTTTTCATTTAAAATCTAAATATATGGCTTGTGAGGTTAAGCACTTATTTCCCATTGTTTCAATCCTGATACAAAGAAAACTTTTCTTCCTGCAAATGAACTACAGTCTCTCTGGCTTGGGTTTGAAAGTATGATTATGGAACCTAGGTATTGATCCATGTGCTGTTATTCAGATTTCTATTAACGATTCCCTTTTACAACAGGGGTCAAACAACATAAAGCCATAAGTAACGGTAGCAATGGAAATGTTTATGTGTACAAAAAAGAGACTTTGGGCAGAAACAAAACAGTAAAAGGTTATGGTTAATGTCTTTTTAAAAAACTTTAATTATTCTTTATCGAATTAAAACCAACCAACACGCATACATCACTCCTAATGAACAGGATAAGTAGGAAGTGTCTTCCAGCTGAATATGATGTTGACATATTAGAATGTAAGTGGGAGTGGACTATGTCACAAAGTTATCACCTCAACACCCGAGTGAGCGGGTTTCAGGTTGGCTAACAGCATCTTGAAGTTTATCTCTTCTAAGCTTTCTAAGCCAATATAAATGACATATACCTTGGTAAATATATGCATGAAATTTCAGTTGAGAAAATTAATTGTGACCTAGTTAAAATAATTGCACAAAGTCAGTTAAGCACCCTCTCAGTCTCCTACCATTGAAATCCTACCATTTCCCATGTTGAAGGTGAACTCCTGATATTATTTGACATGAGAATGTTGATGATGAGAAATACCAACTAAGATCTTTAAAAAAAAAAACAACCTTCTTACATATATCAACAGAAGAGACATAAGGTTTTAGAATTCTAACTATACTTTCTTACAGATCTAAAAATAATAATGAATATAACCAGCTAAGGTACTAAAGTATTTTTTCTGCATAGAAGAGTATCTAAAAGATTACATATGCAAAATTTGTATAAGGTAGAATTTGCATGGTATATAACAAGTGCTCAACAAATGTAAGCTATTTTTCTCAGGAGAGTATAATTATTATTCAGCTGTTTTCAGTATTAAAATGAAAATAGCTAAAACTAAAATGATTAATGACTCAAATATAAATATTTAAGAAGACAGATTTTAAGTAGAAAGCTGCAGGCAGAACTAGAGTTCTCAACATTCCATGGTCAGCATCTCTGACTCATCTCTCTCTGTCTTAAAGATGTTCCATGAAGATGCAGCTGGTGGTTGGCAGCTGGTAGCTGTGGATGTCAACAAGCCCCAGGGACGGGCACCAGCCTGCCTACAGGTACAGCACAATACCATTTTTAAAAATCAGCCATCATGGATCTCTGGCTTTTATTTTATATGAAGAAATCCATAGACCCAAAGCTCTAAACTTGCCCAGATTTATCAAGAAGTCAGGGGCAATTTCTTATTCTATTCTGTATTCAAAACCTAGGTAGTATTTATTTAGATGTATAGTAGGTACTTTACTTTGTTTTCTGTTGATGTGATGAAGTCCTTAACGAAAAGCAATTTGGATATGAAAAGGCTTATTTGACTTAAGTATCCAGATGATGGTCTATTGAGATAAATCAAGGCAGAACTTGGAGGTAGAAACTGAAGCAGAGACAATGGGAAAATACTACTTACTGCCTTGCTGCCCATGTCTTGCTCAGCATGTTTTCTTAAACCATTCAAGACCATCTACTGTACCAGGCTTTTTCTTTTGGACCAACAACCAGCTCCCAAATCATGACACAGAGATATATTATTAGTCATGAATGCTTGGTCTAGCTTAGGCTCATTTCTAACTAGCTCTAAATTAATGTTTCTCCTTATCTACCATTTACCTTGGAGATTTTTACTTTTCTTTCTTCTTTATGTCTTACTTTTGCTGCTTCTTATGTCTGGCTGGCTAGTGGCTACCTGACTTCTTGCCCCAGAGATATCCCTCTTTCTCTCTTCCTTCTCTCATTCTCCTATTCTCTTTGAGCCTAGATTTCTCCTCCTATTTATTCTCTCTGCCTGCTCACACTGCCTATCCTTTCCCCTGCCTAGCTATTGTCAGTTCAACTCTTTATTAGGCCAATAAGATGCCTAAGGTAGGCAAAGTGAAACAAATGTGGCATATCTTCATGTAATTAAACACACATCCTTATGTTGTTAAACAAATGCATTATAAAAATGCAACACACTTTTACACAGTTAACTAATATTCTTCAGCATAAACAAATATAACACATCTTTGTCTCATTAAAATAATATTCCATGACAAGCTACCCAAGGTGCAGCACCAGTGTGCAGGGTCCCTCCCACAACAATTATTAATCAAGAAAATGCACCCAAAGTCTTCTCTTTTGACCAGTATGATAGAGGCATTTTCTCAGGCGAGGTTCCCTCTTCCAAGATGACCCTAGCTTGTGTCAAGTTGACACAAACTAACCAGCAAGTAGGTATTTGATAAAGAACGAATAATGGCACACAAGCAAAAGCATTTCAACAGTCTCAAATCAACAAAAAAAAAATTGTTGCCATGTTAGTTCTTGTCAAAATATTTCTAAAAAGCCTGAGTTATTTAGGGCTGTTCAATACCTCCATGTGTAACTGGGAAAGAGATATATTAACACATGATCTGTTGTTCTACTTGTCCAATCTCCAGAGCAGGGTGATTTCAAGGTGTTTTCTTTACAAAAAAACTCCAAAAGTAAGGATGGGATGATAGATCAAAGGGGAATCTGAGGTCATGACAAGACTCAAATGGTTAGAAGATGGAGCCTGTGGTCCCTCTATGAAACTGTTAGATTCATTCAAATTTGCTTACCTTTTTTTCCTTTTCAAATGTGAAACTGTCATGAATACTTATACTTTATCTTTAAGATTTTATTTTACTCTCTAATATAAGGTACACAAGTATTTTCTCCTGTTTTGTAGGTTGTCTCTTCATTTTGTTACGTATTTACTTGTTTCTGCCATTTGGCAGAGTTCACTATTCCCAAATGAATAGTGGTAATTTTTTATAACAATCTTTTTTATTTTACATACCAATCCCAGTTCCCTCTCACTCCCCTCCTTCTGCTTCCCCCACCATCTCCCCATCCTACCCTCCAATCCTCAGAGAGGGTGACACCTCCCATGGGGTGTCAACAATGTCTGTCACATCACTTTGAGACAGGACCAAGGCCCTCCCCTCTGTATCTAGGCTGAGCAAGGTATCCCTCCATAGAGATGGGCTCCAAAAAACCAGTTCATGCACTAGAGATAAATACTGATCCCACTGCCAGTGGCCCCAAAAATTATCTAAGCCACACAACTGTCACCCACATTCAGAGGGCCTAGTTTGATCTTATGTAGGTTCACCCCCTGTCAGTCCAGAATCAGTGAGTTCCCACTTGCTCAGGTCAGCTGTTTCTGTGGGTATCCCCATCATGGTCTTGACCCCTTTGCTCATATTATTACTCTTCCCTCTCTTTGACTGGACTCTAAGGGCTTGGCCCAGTGCTTAGCTGTGGATCTCTGCATCTGCTTCCATCAGTTACTGGAAGAAAGTTCAATGATGACAATTAAGGTAGTCCTTAATCTGATAACAGGGGAGGCCAGTTCAGGCACCCTCTCCGCTGTTGCTTAGGATCTTATCTGAGGTTATCCTTGTGGATTCCTGTGAACTTCCCTAGTGCCAGGTTTCTCAAAACCCCCATAATGGCTCCCTCTATCAAGATATCTCTTTCCCTGCTCTCCCTCTCTGTCTTTCCCCCAACCCGACCATCCCATTCCCTCATGTTCTCCTTCCCCCTCCCCTTCTCACCTCCACCTCCTCTTCTCACCTCCTTTTGATTCCCCCCAAAATCAGGCTCCCAATTTACTCAGGAGATCTTGTCCATTTCTGCTTCCCAGAGGGATCCATGTATGTCTCTATTAGGGTCTTCCATATTACCTGGCTTCTCTGGGGTTGTGGATAGTAGGCTGGTTATTCTTTGCTTTATGTCTAATATCCACTTATGAGTGACTACGTACCATGTTTGCCTTTCTGGGTCTGGGTTACCTCACTCAGGGTGGTTTTTCTAGTTCCATCCATTACCTGCAAATTTCAAGATGTCATTGTTTTTTACCACTGTGTAGTACCCCATTGTGTAAATGTGCCACATTTTCTTTATCCATTCTTCAGTTGGAAACATCCAGGGTATTTCCAGGTTCTGGCTATTATGAATAATGCTGCTACAAACACAGCTGAGCAAAGTTGACCAGTGAGTGTGTATCCTTTGGGTATATGCCCAAGAGTGGTATTTCTGGGTCTTGAAGGTAGATTGATTCCCAATGTTCTGAGAAACTGCCATACTGATTTCCAAAGTGGCTGTACACTTTGCACTCCCACCAGCAATGGAGAAGTGTTCCCCTTACTCCACATTGTGAGTAATGGTAATTTTAAATATTATTTTGTGGTTTTCCTCTGATATACAACTACATCAGCTACTTCGACTGCTGCCATTGCTTGCAGTGATTCTGTGTTTTAAACAGTTGAAAAATATTCACGGGATCACAGACTTGTTAGAAAAATAACAAACAGATTACCAAATAAGAGACATAAACCATTCAAAGTAATCTGAAGTCATACTATTTCAGGAAGTATTTGCTTGACACATACTACCAGTGCTTGTTTTTAGGCCATGGTGACATGAACATAGAAGGAAATGCCTTTTATCAGTGTGGTTGTTATTGCTGTAATTGGTTCAATTTCTGGTTCCTAGAAGTGAGACTCATGAAGACAAAACAGCAGGGTTTCAGCAGAAGCCAAATACTTTTCAAACCTTCTAATGCCGCACTGAGTATCCAGTGCCAAATACTGTTCAAACCTTCAAATGCCGCACTGCTCTTCCACGCATGTTCTTTCATTTAATGAACACATATGGAGCTAGTACAGTATTGAACATAGCTTTTGCAGAGATCGTGGTTGCCATGACTTCTACGGATATGAAGTTTTCCCTTTGATGGAGAATCAGGTGTTAAATGACCAACATTAATTAGAGAGACACCATTTTGCCTCAGTTTCTCAGCTCTTCATCTTTTTTTTTCCTCCACAGGCAGGAAATAAGAGTGTTGGTTACCACAGGTATATATATAATTTGTCTTTCATAAAGCATTAAAAGACATTTCACTTTGTCTCAATGGTAAAAGAATAAATATATCCACAACTAGATAGCATCATCAAACATGCACAAGCAGTTTCTAACAGAATGCATCGAGAAATAAACCTGTTCATAGAAGCAAAGGCTGCCTTACATGTGCTAATATGCCATTCTGGGATAAAATTTTCTAATTTTACATCTTGTTGCCACTTTTTTGGCAGACCCATAAAAGTAAGTTAGAGTGATGTTATTTTAGATTGCAATAACAAGTAGTATATAAATTAAAAAACATAGTACAAAAATAGCACATCAATAGCCCATCCATATATTTTATATTTTTAAAAGTTTATATTTATAACTAAGCATAATTAGAGACTAGCTCAAAATCTCCCAAAAATTGGGGATATTAAAATAAAACCTCTCTTCTTTTGTGCTAATTCTTCTGAGTTTGCTGAATTTCCAGCTTTCTGTGCCCTTGTCTGGTTTTTTTGCTTATGGTCACTCCCACCAACTATAAATGATTGAGCAATTTAGTAATTTTAATTGATATGACTTAATCTTCTCTACTTTAGGCCAAATATTCCAACTCTATGGGTCTTACCACCTTCTCTTTACATTTATTGATTGTGGAATTACTCAGATGAATTATGATACATGGCAATCCAACTCTTCTGAGAAATGTAGACTGCAGTGTCATTACTGGACTTGCTACCTCTGATCTGCGATCAGAAACTATGCAAATTCATGTGCCATTGTGAGATCCAAATTATAGTCGTAATCACAGGCGTAAGTATAATGGGAATCACATGCAAGCATGCTGAGAAAGATTCAATTTTATGTCCTTAGCATAGTCTTTTCAGTTGATGACAAATGAAAATAAATGTCCTTGTCCATTTAATTGTAAAGTCTTAAAGTCAGAACAAGAGGGTAGACAAACAGAACATTGTTATTTGACCTGGTAGGGAATCCCCAAGTTCTCTAACACATTTTAATCAATTTAATAATGTGTTCATGATTTCATATCATTTTCATAGGCTAAGTTTAGTAATATATCTAGTTTGTGTGTGTGTGTGTGTGTGTGTGTGTGTGTGTGTGTGTGTAATTCCTAAACGATTCACTCTTAAATTAAGAAGAAATAAATAACAGTCCTGTAGTCCATGAAGCACCTTCACTCTCCAACCAG